CAAGACAATCAGCCTTAGATAGTTTCAGTGAACAGCCCTGGAGATGATGTTTATGCTGATGTCCATTCGTATTCCAACTGACAGCAATGGGAGCTGTGCAGAAAAACTCTAAAATGATCAACAACAAGAAGTCTGCAAGCCTGAAGTGCCGAACATGGACGTTTATGTTTTTAACCCACTTTGGCGTTTCCTAGCAGGTGTTGTAAACCTCGGGTATGTGTTTGCATAAGGAGGCACAGGGACATTTAGGCTACTTACCCTAATTTGAAATTGTAGCTTAGCTTCTGTTCAGCTTGGAACGTCAAAAGGGTTCTGCTGCGCAGAAGTCTCGGAAACTAAAAGCCGTGCCAGAATCTAGGCCATGCGGGGGGGGGGGGGGGGGTTACTTTTTCAAGAGCTTTTAGATTGAAACCACATGCAACTTTGTTGACATGCATCACTGCAGTACATAAAGGACTCCAGAATGGTGCCTGCTTGATTGAATTTTTTTTCTGTTTTTTTTTTTTTTTCATTACATTGATTTCTTTCCCCTTCACAGCCTGTGGCACTGGATACACATAACAGCCCATTTGCAGACAAACATGCCCCACAACCGCAAGGGATGTCGCTTCGGGTCACAGAGTTAAAATACAGTAGGGCCGAAGTGAGATGTTGTGAGACTGAAATGGACAACTTAACCATACGATCAGCTTTCTTTTATGAAAGCACTGTGTCAGTTTATAAGCAGAAAGTGTGTGGATAAGGTCTGATCCTAGCCTTGCTGAAAGCAAAGGCGGGGAGGGGGGGGCTCTTTTTTGCATCTATTTTAGAGGTGGGAATCCCTGAAGGCGTTTCTTGAAGCAGTCCAGTACAGTGACAAATATTAACTTCACTAAGAAATACTTGTTTCGTTTAGCCGTTGTGGTTAGCAAATAAAGCCGGGAGGGTTATCCCCATTGCTCCCGTGTATGCCGCTGCTCTTGAAGGCGTGCTTTGTGGGCGCCCTGGACGTGCCCAGGGAGCTGCGGCGGGGACGGAGGCGCTGACGCCTGCGGGTGCCAGGGAGCCTGGCGCCAGGGAGCCTGGCGGCGGCGGCGGCCTCGGCGCCTCCCAGCCCTGGCAGGCGGCTTTGTAACACGGACCAGCATGTAATGAGGGCCGAGACTCACGCCCCAACGATGACCTGCAAGAGTGGCAATCTTTCGCCAAAGCTGCTATTAATTAAATAAGTTAGAAAATAGTGAACCCCACAAGATTCATAAAATCTGCAGATTAAAAAAAATTGCATATTACCAATTAGTCACCGCTTCAAGCAGACTGAGGTGAACATTAAAAAACTGTGTCAACCCCAGTGTATTAGGCAATGTGCTGTTAAATGCTTTGTGCTAAGCAATGCCAGTCGGGAAACCTTTAAACAGCTGTCGCACATGCTTGGAGTCTAAATTAACTATAATCATTTAGAAAAGGGACCCGTAGTCATTATAAACACCTTTTGCTCAATGAATAAGAGTAGTCAGATGGCAACCAGAATGTTCACACCGCTAGATGTGGAATACAGATTAACAATAAAAGTAGCATACTGCCACTTTATAAATCAGCACTCCTTCATCTCGAGTATTGTGTTCTGCTGGCCCCATCTCACAGACGTGAATGGCAGAAACAGGTCTCCGGAGAATGGGGACAAAATTGTTAGTGTCATAGAAAAACTTCTGTAGAGAGAGAACTTGAAAAAGATGGTACCTGTTTACGATGGATGAGATAAATCAGACAGAACAAAATGCAGTTAGACAAAGTAATTAATGGCATACTTGTCCTCAGAAAGTTATTCTTTAATGCGAGTTAAAAAAAAAAAACCTAAAAAACAATTTAAATATGATAGGAG